CACACACACACACACACACACACACACACACACACACACACACGGCGAGCCTTTCCCTTGACCAGGTGCCCAGCTGATCAGTCCTGGGGCAGTGGCAAGGCAGGGCAGGGCGCAGAGGCCTGCAGGGATCTGGGCTGGGGTCTGCAGGGAGCACCCTGCAGGAAGCTGGGGGTGTGTGTGAGAGGCCCCCTCATGAGGAGTCTGCAGGCTGAAGGGACAGACAGATCAAGAGCCTTCCTCCGGTGCTTGGGCCCAAGGACACTGAACTTCTCTGGGGGCCTGAAGTCACTGGAGAGGAGGTTGAAGGACAGATGGTGGGGACACTTCCCCTGAATGGAGTCCCCAGTCCTGCCAGCCTCTGGAGGCTGCCCTGGCCACTCTGCCCCCAACCCCAGACTGAGACAGTCTCAAGTATTATTATTTCTCTAATCTTATGCTCACTGCCCAGCACAGAGAGAACCCCCAAATGATAAACACCACACTAGACCCTAATCCCATGGCCATGGAACTGAGTCTGGCCAGGATGAACAAGGAAGAACTGCTCTGCAGGGCATCTTTATGGACAAGCGTTGCCAGGCTTTCACAGACTGCTGCCCCCGTTCAGACCCTGACCTTGTGGGTAGAAACAATCTTGCTCCACTCAGGGGCCCTTGAGAATGGGCACCGCCTTCACTAGCTGATGATGAAGCTTCAGGCACGAAGCAAACCAGGGTGGGAAGGTGAGGGGCGTCCGTGAGCCTGCCCAAGGCTTCTCTGAACAACACCTGACCTGCATAGCGCCACGTGGCTGTCTCACCCATGCCTGGTGCAGGCAGCTACCCGCCCAGCCCTGTCCTGCCAGCTCCCTGGCTGTGGCCGGCAGAGCCAGAGATGAGTCACACTGGCCAAGAGCCCAGCTCCAGTCCAAGCAGCCTGAGCAGCAGAGGCCCTGGCTCTCCTCCAGCTTCTTCTGCCTCCCTGGAGGTGGGCAGGGCGGAAGGCGGGGTGTTCTACCCAGCCACACCCTTAAGCACTCCATACCTCATCTCCCTGCGTGCAGGTGGGCCGACTGCAGCCCAGCCAGCCTCTCCTGCCCTGGCTGATGGGCGCTGGAATGTTCATGTGAAACTTCTTCGGATGTCTTGTACCTGCCTTCTGTGCCGGCCAGGGCACAGGAGAGTGTGTCGGGCATCGGGGGTACCCACTGGCCCTGCCCCCTGCTGTCTTTGGCTCTTCCTTCTACCCCATTCTCCAAAGGCCACTCCATAGTTCACAAAGTCCTTTCTACCAGCTCCAGAGAGGGCTTGTTCCAGCCCAGCCTTGGGGAGCGCCATGTGTTGGAGGAGCGACAGCACAGCCTTCCAGGTGTGGCAGCGACCTGGACAGGGACAGCCTCCTGCACTCCGTGGACTGGCCACCTTCTTGTGGGGGCCCCTCGGACCTTCCTTTGAGGGGGAAGACTGTGGCCTGGGAGTGACTGGCAGCATGCAGGGCTAGTGTAGGATGGGCCTGGGCCAGAAGGGACCTCATGTCTGCCCAGAACACCATATGTGCCCCGACCTCCACTTCCATTAGGACTGGCCAGTTGGGAAGGGGAGAGGGAAGAGAGAAGAAGGCTGACCTCTCAGAGTGCCCCATTCCTGCCGTTGGCTGGGGGGACAGGCTAGGAGAGTGCTGGGCCAGATCCCAGCTGCAGGCAGCGATGCCAAGCAGAAGTAGAATGACCGCAGGTGGGAGCAGCTCCAGAGCCCTGTGTTCGGTCCCCTGGGGTACTGGAAGCTGGCTGGGAAGGACGCTAGCAGGGTGGCCATCTGCACTTTCCCGTGAGAGGCCTGCCCAATGTCCTGCTTGGGATCCCTCAGCTGTCTTCCCCTGACCCCTCTGCAGTCCCACCACTGCCCCATTACATGGCCACCTGCAGCCATGGTCCAGCAGGCGCCGGCAGCCCAGGTGTGTGCACCAGCCCTGGCCTAGCAGGGGCAGCCGAGGCGTCCTGGACTGCCAGGTAGGCCAGAGAGTATGGCACAGGCCCAGCAGCTGGGGCCCCAGCTGCTCAGGCCCTGCCACCTGCCACTGTCCTGTGCCCAGTCTGCAGGCCTGGGCAGCTGGCTGGCAGCCTGAGTGCCCTGGGACAGGAGTCTGGCCAGCTTGGCCAGGATGCCTCCTCTAAGCTGTGCCAGGGACCACTGCCTGGACTGCGGCTACCTTGTGCCCTCGGCACACGAGCAACCTGGACTGAATCTTGTTGAGAAACTCAACATGCAGCCCAGGACCCACTAGCTCTCAGCATCCAGCCATGCATGCCAGAGGCCCGCCTGGCCTCCCCCGTCCAGTGTGGGTGCTGGGGGAGCTGACCCCGCAGGCCTTCCAGCATCCTCCCCTGCCTGGATTCCCCATCCGGTGTGGGTGCTGGAGAAGCCTCCCCCATGCAGTGAGGGTGCTGGGGGAGCCTCCCCCGTCCAGTGTGGGTGCTGGGGGGAGCCTACCCACCTCCAGTGTGGGTGCTGGGGGAGCTGGCCACACAGGCCCTCCAGTGCCCTCCCCTTCACAACCTCTGACCCACTTCTCCAGTCCGAGGGCCTGTGTACTGCCCCCCACCCCCACCCCGGCTTATCTTGCAAGCTTCCTTCCCAACAGCCTGGTGCAGTGTTTGATGTGGAACGCCAGGACTTTGCTTGGCGGGCATGGGTGGGTGGGTGCTGGCACGGCTCCTGCTGGCTGTCAGGAATGCCACTCTGCCCTCCGCCCTGGACAAGGTTCCTACACAGCCCAAGCAAGACCAGAAAGAAAAGCCCCAAGCCTAAAGAGCCGCTGACGTTTAGAGGTGTCTTAGTTCCCTTCTGAGATTGGACCCAGAGGATCTGTGGAGGCGCAGCCCACAGGAAGTCAGGCAGCGCCTCTCCGGTGATTTGAATCCACAGCTGATTGGAATCTGCGGTAGAGAGGGGGCAGCCTCCTGAGCGACTTACAGCCTCAGAAACCCCCTGGAGGCTCAGCTCTGGGTTGGTTCCAACTCTGGCTATGACTCCCCCACCCCCAACCCCCGGTTCTCTAGAGCTGCTGGAACAGGGGTCCCACACTTGGATACCACATGTGGACAGCATTAGCAAACTCATTTTCTCACCTCTAAGGAGGACCCAAGGAGTGACTGAGGGCCCTGGCTCCGGGGGAAGGGCTGGTCCCTGGAGCTTCTGCTCTGGGCCGTCTTTGTGTGGCGTCTCTCCTCTCCCACCCCCACCCCGTGCTCTCCTGTTAAATTGCTTTTATGTCTCAGGACAGACTTAACTAAGTCACAGCCTATGCTGCTTGTGCCTCTAATATCACAAAGTCAGCCCCAAACCAAAGTCACAGAGGCAGCCCCAGTGCCTAGAGAGGTCTGGGGAGCGGGGCAGCCCAACTGCTCAGGGGTTTCTCAGTTGCTTCATGTGCAAGTGAAAGTTGGACAATGAGAGAGAGCAAGGAATAAGTGATGCCTTTGCATTGTGGAGTTGAAGAGTTTTAACTGCTGCATGGACTTTGGAAAGGACAAGCTCTCTTGTCTTGGAGGAAGTGGAACTGCCCCTCAGAAGCAACGATGGTGGACCACCACCTCACCTACTTTGGACGCGATGTCCGGAGGGGCCAGTCCCTGAGAAGGATGGTACACTGGGAAAAGTCAGGGGAAGAGCAGAGTGCTGGGTGTGGTGGACTGAGCCCATGCCTAAGGGCGGGGGAGGGAGTGGCAGAGACCTGAGCAAGGCGGAGTGGAGGGTGTGGCAGGGCCGGATCTGTCCGATGGACGCGGGGAGGGTCCATCAGGGCCCAGATCTGTCAGACACCGGTCACTACTACGTGTTGGTGGGAGTAAATGCTCTTGTCTTACCGAGCATCACGGCTTGTAGGTTTGAACTACTGACCTTTTGATTAGCAGTCCAAAGCTCAAAGCTCAACTTGCCAGTCCTCCCGGTTGCCTATTTAATATAACACAGACATCGAAGGGAATCCTAGCTGGGGCACATTGCTGCTGCTGCTGCTGGGTACCCTCACGTGGGAAGTAGTTGACCCTCCAGCAGGGTTTTAGAGGCAATCAATTGCATGAGAGGAGACTGCCCCTCTTTCTCCGTTGGAGCAGCTGGTGGATTCGAACTGCGTACCTTTGCATTGGCAGTGCAATTCCTTACCACTAAGCCATCCGAGCCGGGGAACAGAGATTACTATTTACAGCACATGTTGTATGGAGCAAGATTCAAACCCTAAGAGGAGTGCAAGTTGATGAGTTATTAGAAGAACAGGCAGCTGCACGCTGTGCGTGTGATCTATACAACACCCTAGAAATGCAAATTATTTATCCCATTGCACAGGTGGAAAAACTGAGGCCTGCTGAAGGAAACCGCCTTGGTGTGCAGACAGGTGCCGAGGCAGCCGGGCTCCCCTGCGCCAGGCTGTGAGGTCACACGGGGACGGATTGTGAGAGTGGAAGAGCCCACAGGTCCCAGGCTGCACGCTCGCTGGGCCCTGCTCCCTCTGCACCCAGGAAGCCCTGCAGAAGGTCCACACCGCCCCCTCCCAGCCTCAGCTCCCAGAGGCCAGAGACCCAGCCTGCAGGCTGTCAGAGGCAGGGCCATCCGTGAGGGGGACTGGCAGTCTGGGCTCGCTCCATTCAGTGCCGGCCTTACCTGGGGTCATCACTACATTGTCCTTCTCCCCGTGTGCTGTGATGTGAGCCACCTGGGGGGACACGAGCATGAGGAGTGCCTGGAAACCCTAGCACGGTGACGTCTGTGACGCAGCAGAGCACCGTTGAGTGGCCTTCGCAGCCTGCCAGGTGGAGCGGGGCGTGGGGTGGGGCACTTGACCTTAGACCACAGGCTGGAGAACACCCAGCCAGGTGCTCACTGCATAGGCAGTGGACATAAACCACGGTTCCTAGACCAATGGGGGCACCAGGAGCCTGGGGGGCGGATTTATTTGCCTTTTTTTATTTGGGGCCTATAAAAAAAACAGAACTGGAGGGGTGGGCCAGGGCTCTGGGGGCTGATTCAGCTGGAGCAGGGGGAGCCCCTCACTTCTCCTAGCAGGGCAGTGGGGCATTTGGGCTGGAGATAAAGGAGGAAACCAGAGGAACCTGCCCACAAGGTGCCAATGACCGTCCTGGGAACTGACCACTCTGAGCACAGCCAGGCGGCTCTGTTGCCCAGAAGTGACAGCTGACAGCGTCAGGATGCTGGATGCTCGGGAAGCAGCGCCAGGCCCTGTGAGGTGGGGTGGGCCTGGGGAATCAATACGACATCGCCAGCCAAAAGGGCTTTGGGCAGAGGTTGCCTCTGGACACGCACCATGGGGAGAAGCGAGTGGCCTGGACTCCTGAGGAAAATGACGCGGGGAAGTACCCACTCAATGCACACAGTGATTCTGAGACGAATCGGCTACAGGGGCAGAAAGGGGCAGGGACAAACCGACAGCTCTCCAGCAGTCCTGCAGGACAGAGACACTGCCCGGAGCGCTGCTGAGACCGTAACTCCTCACACAGGTAGGTTGCCAAGTCGTTTCTCCCATGGAGCAGCTAGTGGATTTGAACTGACGACTTTTCAGTTTTGTAACTGGGTGCTTAATCATTGTGCCACCACGAAGACAGGGTCGAGGGGAAATGATCAACCTTGAACTTAGAGAACAACAGAGCAGGCAGAGCCAAGTCTGGCACTCAGGGCAGCTTGGCTCCCCCTCATTTACTTGGGGCCCTCTCATTTACCTGGGGCCCCCTCATTTACCTGGGGCCTATGAGTGGACCCTAGAGCACAGCAGAATGGCCCAAGGGCTCCCGAGGATGGACCTTTATAGCCTGTGCCCTCTTTCCGCGGTTCCTCACCATGAAAGGTCGGGAGAGAAAGGCTTCTCCTGCAAAGATTCAGAGTCTTGGAGCCTGATGGAGAGTCACTGTGAGTCGGAGTGAACTTGCAGGTGGGGGTAAACGCTGCAGAAACCGACTGCTGGGTTTGCAAGTATTCACTACTGCACCACCAGCGTGCCCACAGCACAGTGTGCTGGACCCTCGGGAGATGGAGTCTGAAGGTGTCACTCTCCAGTGGGGACTAGTTCCCAGCACTTCCGAGATGAAGCCTGTGCCCATTTTACAGATGAGGAGTCCGAGGCTCTGCTAGACTGGAGTCCAGCCTGACTGATGCCCGTGGAGCCCTGAACACACTTCCTTGTTCCTGCTGGCACTCACCCACATTTACCATCAGAGAATGACATCATGTGGTCCTTGTATTTTTTTCCAAAGTTAAAAAAACATCTAAGAAATCCCCAAGCATCATAAAAATCCCCTTATTTAGGAGAAGCTGATCCAGGTCACAGTCTCCACAATCACTTGCTATGCGTCAGAGACCTGAATGATGACTAAGGATGTTAGAAGGAGAATTGATGCCTTTAAGCTGTGGTGCTGGAGAAGAGGGTTGAATATACCATGGACTGCTAGGAGAACAAACAGGTTCGTCCTGGAGAGGGTGAAACCAGGCTGCTCCTCGGAGGCAAGGATTTTGAAGTTCTGTCTGATATACTCTGGGCATGTTGTAAGGAGGGACCAGTTCTTAGAGAGGGACATCACACTTGGGAGGGTGGAGGGACAGCGCAGAAGAGGAAGACCCTCGATGAGATGGATTGACTCAGTGACTGGAGTAATGCGGGCAGGTGTGTCAGAAATGATGAAATTGCCTCCGGATAGAGCAGGGTTCAGAGCATAGGATCATTGGATTGGAGCTGACTTGATGGCACATAACAACAACAACCTGCATCAGGCAGCTGGACAGTGACTAAGGATGACGGAAGAACTGATGCCTTTGAGCTGTGGTGCTGGAGAAAAGCACTGAACATCCACAGACTACTAAAAGAACAAACACGTCTTGGAGAGGGTGCAGCCAGAGTGCTCTTTGGAGGCAAAGATGATGACGCTTTACTTCACATGTTGCACGTAGGTCGCTAGGACAGGCTATTCCATGGAGAGGGACATGATGCTTGGAAAGGCAGAGAACCGGCGAAGGAGAAGACCCTTGACAAGGTGGATTGACACAGTGACTGTCACAATGGGCTCTAATGTGTGAGGGTGCCTCAGGATAGGACAGGGTTCAGATCTGTTTCCCATAGTCGCTGTGGATTGTACTTGATTCGAAGGCCCCTGACAACCACGGTGACATTTAGCAGAAGGATCCACTGTGAGCCTTCCTCAGGTACTTGACTCTGAGCACTATTTTCATGGTGGGTCGGGCCGGAGGCTGGTCTCACATGGGTGCTTTGCTGGCCAGAAGGCCCTTCCCAGGTGTAGTTGGTAAGGTGACCAGAGACGCCCAGGCACCGGGAAATGTGGCGTGTCACGGGAGAGGCTGCGGACAGGAGGGTGGAGACGGCGGGAAGATGAGTGCTTGCACACGCCCTCAGGAGAGGGCTGGCTCTTGCTCCATCTGCGATGCCCTTGATTCCCAGCCAGAACCAGCTGCTCACCCAGTATCAGCTTGGTAGCCAGCTCCTTGCTGGACACAGACGTGTCCAAATGAAATCCAAACCCTCCCTTGGCAGGGAGCCCCTGGGCCTGGCCCTGCCTCCTTCCGGTCCTTGCCTGCCGCCGGAGCTCTGCCAGCCTCCTTCCTGGCTATTTAACGAACAGGCCAGCTGTGGTTCCATCCCAGGGTCTCTTTTTCTTGCCAGAACATTCTCCCACATTTGGCAGGTAGGGTGGCTCATACCTAAATGCTGAGTTGAAAAGTTCTGTCGCGCCTGTGCTCTCCTCCTGTAGCCATGCTCCGTCCACACACATCAACGCATCTGTAGCCAAGCGCTAGCTGTGGAGTTGGAACTGACCCATGGCTGACCCTCCGAACGTCAGTTCCAGGAGGTTTTCAGAGGCTGTAGACTGCATGGGAAGAGACTGCCCATCTCGTCCATGGAGCGGCTGGGCACCAGATGCGGCAAACGGTCAGCTGCGAGGCTTCCTACCGACAATGTCCTCAGAGCTCCTCTCAACGTAATTGCTGTCTTCTGTCAAGTGGGAACCGACCCAGAGCTGACCCTCCAGCAGGTTTTCAGAGGTGGTAAATCACATGGGAGCTTGTACAGGGTAAAGTAGAATCCAACCACGAGCCTTCAGCTTAAAACACAGTTTCTTACCACTAGCCCACCAGAGCTCCCCTCTTGTTAGGTGCTGTGGAGTCAAGGGTGACTCGCAGCGACCCTATGAACAGCTGAAAACGACCCTGCCCCGTCCCATCCTCTTCATCTCTGACACACTAATGCTACAGTCACCATGTCAGTCCATCTCGCTGGGGGCGGGGGGCTTCCTCTCCTTTGCTGACCCTCCAGCATGAAGTCCCTTTCCAAGGAATAGCCTCACCTAGCTACATGTCCAAAGTATGAAAGACAAAGCTTCCCTACCTTTTGTCTCCAAGGATCACTCTGGTGGTACTTTCTTCAAGATGTATTTATTCTATTGTGGGATAATGGGTACTCTTCTTCAACACCACAGCTCAAAGGCATCAATTCTTCTTCTGTCATCCTTATTCACTGTCCAGCTCTCAGCTGCAGATCAAGTCATTGAAAAGAACATGGCCTGAATCAGACACACCTTAGTCCTCAAACTGATATAATTTTTAATTTTTTTAATTATTTTTTTGTGTGAGTGTACTATCAAATCAGATCTGACTGGTACAGGAGGAGATTGTCCCTCCTTCCCCGGCAGAGCATCTGGTGGATTCGAACCGTGCGCCTCTGGGATTGTAGTTGCAGCTTCAAACTGATATCATTACTCCTAGATAATTTGGAGAGGTCCTGGACTGCAGATATTCCCAGTGCACTACATCACCTTATTTCCTGACTGTTGGTACCAAGGGTGTTGATTGTGGATCCAAGCAAGATGAAATCATTAACAGCTTTGATCACTTTCCATCTATCATGATGCTGCTTTTTGGTCAATGTCACACAAAACCTGTACCTGTGTTGTCAAATATGCAGGGGTCTGTGCCACCAGGATGTCTTCTGATGTTCAGTCAATGACTTGCATGGGGCTAGTGTGTCCGAACATGGAACCCTTCACCTTCAAGGCGGTTCTGGCCTCTGTAAACCCAAGCCTGACCAAGTGGTTTCCACCCAACCTGCTGACCAGGAGTCCTATGTCCTGCGTCCCTCACGCCCATGTCCCTCTTACCTGCATGCCCACATCCCATGCTCTGGATTCCGACTGGTGGTGACTGCCCTGTGTGTGTCTGGGGCTAGAAATCTTTGCTGAACCAGCCACATGGTTTTCATGTGCAGCGGATGGTGGGTGTGAACTGCCAATCTTTGGTTCAGGACGAGTGCTGAGCCATCGCACCCCCAGGACCTCTGTGCCTGATACACCCACCGCTGTTGACAAATTCCTACTCCTGGTAGCCCCTCTCTTTCTCAGGCTGTAAATCTCTCTTGGAGGAGACTGCCCAGCTTGCTTTCTCAGACCTGCTGGTAGATTCGAACTGCTGACCTTTTGCTCAGCAGCTTGATAACTTTGACACTACAGTACCAGGGTCAAATGCAGTAAGTGCCGGATGAATGAGTAAAAATCCAAGCACAGGAGAGTCAATGAAGTTATTATTAATTCAAGATAAAGCTGAGCTTATCAAAGGGGCTGAGAACAGGCCCTCCTGCTGGGACAGCCTTTAGGGTGCGGTGAGGGCTGGGGCGCCTGAGAGCCTGTGAGGGGGCGGCAGGTGCCTCAGCTCCATTCGCAGCTGCACAGCCACATGGGAGCAGGGTGAGGGTCTAGGTTCTCACGGGAAGCCAGGAATCTCTACTTTCCTGTGACACATTGAGGGTTTTGAGTATTGACAACTTTTCCTCCTTCCACGATAGAACACCACACTCAGCGGGGTGACCCTGTGGGACCATCGCAGTCCAAGCTCGGACCACAGGCATCCAGAGTTCCCCAACCTGAGACTGTGGCTGAAAAGCTCAAGAACAAGTTGGGTTTAAAACACAGCTCTTCATGACAGCCTCAGAGAGAGAGAGAGAGAGACAGAGAGAGAGAGAGAGAGAGTGTGTGTGTGTGTGTGTGTGTGTGTGTGTCTGTGTGTGTGTGTGTGTGTGTGTGCAGGAGGCTCAGTTATGGAGGAAGAGCTGCTGGGATCCCCAGAGGAGGCACCGGACAGCCACAGGCAGCTGGGTCAACAGACTGGGCTGAAATCCTGGCGTGGCCGAGCAGGGCCAGGCTCGTCAGCAGGTGACAGATGGGTGCCTGGCTCTATGTCTGGGCATAGACCTCCCTGGGGAAGCCCCACCCCTGCCCCAGGGACCTGGACTGAGGAGGCACCACTGCCCACCACCCCTCCCAGCAGCTGGTTGGGGCCTTGTTTGTAACATGAAACTGGGCATCACTGACATGAGTTCAAAGGCTTTGGGAGTCCTGTCGCCGCGGCGCCACGCCTAGCCCTTCGCTTGGCCACTCCAGGACTCAGCCTGCCCTCTTGCTGCCCACAGCACACTCTGGTCTACTCGCATCTCCCCAGGGAAGGAGCCCTGGTGGCGCAGTGATCAAAGCGTTTGGCTCTGAACTGAAAAGCGCTGTGGGCAGTTCTGCTTGGTCCTGTAGGGTCGCTGTGAGTTGGACTTGCCTGCACGGCAGTGGGCTGGGCTTGGATTGTCTTTGATGATTTCTTTTTTGCTATATGGAGTCTCTTGTCTCTGTTTCTCTTTCTTTTTTCCTCTCTCCTAATGCTAGTTTCGGAACATTCTCAGTACCTGCAAAGATCACCCGGTACACAGGACGCCCTCTACCTCCTGTGTGTCTGAGAGGTGCCCACACAGGCCTGCCTGAACTGGACTTCCGGTATCAGTGGCCTGTGCAGCACATGATGTGTGTCAGTCTATGTCACCTAGCGTCGTGTGTTCGAGGCTCACCCATGTGTTAGTGTGTGTCAGTGTGTGTCTCTCTGTGGCTGAGAACCTTGCATTGTGCGGCCGGCGCACACTGGCTGGCCACCGTCTGCTGGTGGAGAGCGGGCAGCCTGTCCACCTTCAGCTCCTGCCAGCAGCGCTGTGGTGAACGGGGTGTGTGGGAGCAGCACGTTGTTGAAGGGATGATGGGTCCTCGCTCTCCGAGCCCTAGACCACACATCATCATCTCCCTCTCGGCCAGAGACAGGGCCACCTTAGCTGGTGGAGTGTTCCCTGCTGTGGCAACAGGGCATCTCTTGGCATGGGGCTGAGGGCTCTGGTGCCCAGGCCAGCAGTGACCTATCCCTCAGGGCCCATATCCACATGGGGAGGGATCTGTAGGCGGGGGTTCCTGCTGGACCAGACTTGGGTCTTCTGGAGATGAACACCCCACAGGAGACACGCAGAGGAGGCAGCGTCTGCCTGCCCTGCATGGGGCTGAGGGCACAGTGGAGGCATCACTCCAACACACAGGTCCTGAGGGCTTCTTGGAGGCAGAGATGGGGGGACAGGCACTGGATGGCGGGCCGTGTGCTCCAGGACGTGCAGCTAGAGCAGACCCACTGGACAGCCAGGCTTTACTGGGAGCCAGTACGGGAGGAGCAGAGTGCCAGGCTCGGGCAGGGGCACCGTGCCTGGTGGGATGGGGCAGGAAGATCAGGGCTGCCTGGGAAATGGAGACAGAGGGGATGGATCGGAGCCGCTCTGTGACCCCTCAGCCTGTGGCTCCATGGCTGGGTGTTGTTACAGACCTCCTGGGCATCCAGCCAGATACTGCAGCCCCTGCACACACACCGCTGGGCCCAGCAGCCCCCTTTTGCCCTGCCTCACCCCTCTCTGTCCCTGAGCGCCTCCCTCCCCCTGCTCTGATGGCCTCTGCCCTTGGGACGGAGTTGTGGGGTCAGACTGCCGGAGAACAGCCACTGTCCAGAGTGGTTCCTGGTGGTCCCTGTGGTCCTAGGCTGACCACACAGCATCATGCCTGGGGCCTTTCCTGAGTTTAGCATTAAAAGCTCAAGACCAGGGAAGGGTCTGGTCTCAGTGAGGGGGACACTTGTCACCTGGTCGCCCTGCCCCTCCAGCCTTCTCCAGGAATGGGGCCACGTCCCTGTGTCCCACGCGGTGCTGTCACAGGTGGCCCGAGGGGTGACCTCATTTAGGCTGCACCAGAAATAGCACGGGCAGCTAATTAGCTCGTGAACCTCCCGGGAACAAGGCCGGGCCTGGAAAATTCCACTGATGAGAGGGGCTGTGAGGACGCTTTCTCCCCGGGACACACAGCTTTGTGTCCTGCACAGAGTGCCCACAGGTCCAGGGACAGCTCTGGATTCGGGGGAGGCCCAGACCTGAGACCTCGGCCTGGTGGGGTTGAGCAGGACTCGAGGTGACAGCTTGCACTCACACCCTGCTCCCTAGTCCCTGAGACTCCAACACCACCACTGCAGGGAGCCAGCCTGTCTGTCCACTGTGCAGCTGGCCTCTGGGACAGGTGGCAGGCTCAGGGGACAGAGCCTGGACTCAGCAGGAGGACTTCTCAGTCTGTGCTTTCTCTGCCAGCACTCAGATGACTGTGTGCTCCTTTTCTTCTCTGGTTCTCCATGGGCTGCAGAACAGGCAGCTGCCCTGCTTCACAGAGCCCCCCAGGGGAGCCAGGCCCTAGGGGCCAGCCTTGCCGGGAGGTGGGGAGCCTGTGCGGACTTTCCGGCTTGTCCGTCTGCACTCCATGTCCCATGATCTCCATTACAGGCTGAATTGGACTCCCCCCCCCCAACCCCAGAGTATGTGCTGTAAGACCTGGACCCCTGTACTCATGAATGAGTATCCTGGTGACATGATGAATAGTCCTGCACTGTGCCCATGATACGCCCCTACTCCCATGATAAACCCGTATACCTGTGACAAACCCTTGCACTCGTGGATAAACCCCTACACTCATGATGAACCCCTCCATCCTTGGTTTAAACCCCTGCATCTGTGGATAAACCTCTATAACTGATAAACTCCAATACCTGTGGATAAAACATTATACCTGTGGATAAGCCATGGCACCAGGGACATCACTGCTGATTCAGATGGATCCTGGATGAAAGAATATAAGAATGCCTATTTGTACTTTATTTGACTGATAGCGTGGAGTGTGGTTCACAAAACAATCTGTGCTGACATTGAGAATGGGTGTCCCAGAGCACTTAATTGTGCTCATGCAAAGCCTATACCTGGACCAGGAGGCTGCTGTGTGAAGAGCAGGGAAGAAGTGCATGGTTTAAAATTGAGAAGAGAGTGTGTCAGGGTTGTTTTCTCTCAATACCTATTTGTGATTTGTGTACTGAGCAAATTATTTGAGAAGCTGGACTCTATGAAGAGGAGTGTGGCATGAGGTTTGGAGGGAGACTCCTTGATAGCCTGCATTATGGAGATGACACAATCTTGTTGAAAGTGAGGACTCGAGGCATTTTTTTTGCAGATCAAGGAATTCAGCCTTCAATATGGACTGCATCTCAATGTCAAGAAAACAAAGATTCTTATCACTGAACTGATAGGCAATTGGAGAAGAGATTCAAACTGTCAACTTCATTTTGGTTGAATCCACAATTAATACCCTAGGTACCAGCAGTCAGGAAATAAGGAGACATATTGCACTGGGATTATGTGCAGTTAGGGACCTCTCCAAAGTATTGAGGAGTAATGATATCAGTTTGAGGACTAAGATGTGTCTGCTTCAGGCCACAGTTTTTCTGATCACTTACTATGTATCTGAGAGCTGGACAGTAAATAAGGATGATAGAAGAATTGATGCCTTTGAGCTGTGTGTTGGTGAACAGCACTGAATATTCCACTGACGGCTAAAAGAACAAACAAATATCTCTTGGAGAGGGTGCAGCTGGAGTGCTCTTTGGAGGCAAGAATGATGATGCTGGTTTAAAATCAGAAACCCTGCGTGTCAGGGTCGTACCCTTTCCCCCTACTCATTAAATCTATTTTGATGAACTCATCACTGGGTTATTGGGCAACATCCTAATGTTGTTATATGCCGTCGAGTCGTTTGCGACTCATAGCGACCCCGTGTACAACAGCCCTAAACTCTGCTCTATCCTGTGCCAATCGCCCTGTCTCTGACACACCCATCCCGATTACCCCAGTCACTGAATCAATCCACCTCACAGAGGGTCTTCCCCTCCTGCGCTGTCCCTCCACCTTCCCAAGCATGATGTCCCTCTCCAAGGACTGGTCCCTCCTTGCAACATG